GGTATTTGCTGGCCTAATCTCCATAGTTGTGAGTCACAAAACCGTGTTTTCTGTGTTAATTGTGTACAGCAAAGACAGGAATATCTAGCATTGTATTTGTTAGTCTGAAAGACACTTGTCAAGAGATTTACCAAAACACTAGGCTTTTCTCCTTGCTTTTTGATTTGTTTCTTTTGCTTCTACTTAAAGGGACAATTGTTGTCTGATGAGCAGAATTAAGAAGGAAATTATACAGGTCTACAGACACTTTGAGCATACAAAAAGAAAGTTGCGAAAGTTAAAAACCTTTTTCTGCTTTAGCAGTAGAATAGAAAGACTGGACTGACAAGACTTTGTTATGTTCTCCTTTCCCCGAAGAAAAGTAGAAAAAACAGTTTTTTTCAAGGATAACCCCTGTAACCACAGGGAATGTTAAGGTATTCTTGTACAAAAAGAACTGGTTGGGATAAGGGATCAGAAGGCAGCTGGGGAGGCTTAAGGTAAAGCTAAAGGAAACCCAGAAAGAGCAAGGAATACAGAATGAACTAGAATGAGGAGTAGAAATTCTAAAAATAAGTAGTTTAATACTGTCTAAATTAATTGTCCTGGGCTCAGCAGTAGCAGTCATTTTTCTCCTTCTTAGTAGCTGGTACAGCATTGTGTTTTGACTTTCGGCCTGGGAACAGAGCTGGTAACACTGATGTTTTAGTCTGACCAAGGACTTTCTGAGCCTTATGCTCTGCCAGGGAGGAGGGGAAGCCAGGAGGAAGCAGAGACAGGACACCTGACCCAAACTAGCCAAAGAGGTATTCCAAACCACAGCACGTCATGCCCGGGATGTAACTGATCACAGCGGGGTTGGACGAGGTATTGGTTGGTGCTCGGTTGGGTGGGATGGGGCGAGTTATCGGTCAGCTGGTGCTGAGGTGGTATCGTATTCTCTTCCCTTGTTATTTATCCTTATTATTATTGGTGGTAGCAGTAGTGATTTGTGTTATACCTTAGTTCTTATCTCAACCTGCGGGAGTTTTGATTCTCCTCTCTGTCCCTCCGGGAATAGGGGGAGGGCAAGAAGGGGGGGGGGGGGGGGGGAGTGAACGAGCTGCGTGGCTGGGTTTGAACCACAACATTAATATTTTATTCCTAGCTGTCCTCTGTTAAATTCCTGAGTTTCTCCTTTTGATGCTAGATACATGCTAGTAATTCCTCTGCTCTTCTGGCCTCTGCTCTGTGTTCCTGCTAGGAAGAAAACAAGCTAAATATGTGAAACATAACACACATTGTGCTGAATTGCAAGTGGTAACCTTTCTTGAAAGTATCTGCTGACTGCTATTTTTCTATTATGCCATGCAAATATGCCCCAAAAATGCTTGGCACAAAGATGAATTATAGAATAACATAATGGACTGGAGAGATGGTGCTGTGATTATCTGAACTCATTTCATGTACAACACAGACCATGGGACTTTCATGCATTCCAGCTTGGCTGTTTTTCTGAAAGTTATGCTCCAATTAAAAGTAAAATAGGGATCACTGTGATAGTAAATTCACATAAATTTTTGATTAAATTATTCCAGTGGTTATTCTCATAGGAGTGGATGGAAAAGGTGCCCTGTTCTGTCCGATGCCCACCTTCCACTTTTGGCATGTGGATATTGTTACATGTTTGCTGCTTATCTTGAATAGTTATCTGTTACTTTCTGTTCTGCACTTTTGAGTTGCTTATTCTCTTTGATTCCTTAACAGTTCCAGTTTTCTCATGAAGGTACATTCTAGGCATGGCTCCAGTCATTTAATTAGGATCAGTTCCAAGCTTCTTCATGCTGTAGGCTAAAAATCAAGAGGCAGAGTGGCTAAACTAGCTTTTCCCCAAGTCTCAATGTGGTAAGATGTGTTGCTTGGAGGGACATGAGGCAATTGGAAAACTTTGCTTTCTGGTTTGGTTATGAGTTCTACACTAAAATAAATACAGTCACAGTGGAGCAGCCAAAATAGAAAGTTAAGAAAGTTAAGAAGGAAATGGAGATCTCTGTGCCACTGTATAATCCTCCATTTACCTAAGCCTGTGTGGTTTTGGTTCCCCATTGCTAAAACTGTATAGCAGGCCTGGAAAAGGATGAAGAAAGTTATGAAATAGTTTCTACGAAGACAGATCACTGAGAGCTGGTACAGAGACAGGGAAGGAGTGGTTATAATGGTCTATGAAACCTAGCATAGCACAGAGAGAGAAGAGGTTGACTTAGTTTTCATTTTTTCATCAGGAACTGTAGAGCACCAGATGAAGACTGAAAGCAAAGCAAGGTGGTTCTTCACGGAAGATTAGTCAAGCTTTGGAATTCCTTCCTGTAGGATTGCAGGTAACACGAGAACCTACTCATGTAGGTTCAAGAACTCAAGCAGTCACAGTCAATGGAACAGATCTCTCCTGAGGGTTATTAAACACATAGAAATCACACATAGATCAGAGCCTCACTGATCTGCAAGTGATTGGATGCTGGAAGATGATATATGCAAAGGGGAAATACTGAGTGTGCTTTTAGTCTTCCCTAGATACCCAATTTGGCCGCAGCTAAAGACCAAGATAGAAAGACATTTGGTCTGATCAAGTATTGTCCATTGCTATAGAACTACAAAATGTATTTGAAATTCCGATACTGAGGCATCTGTGTCAAAAATGGAGATAAAGCAGTTGTACTTTTTGATTTTATTAGCAAGAGTTACATTAGCCTTTATAGCCTCAGTATGGCATTGGAAATTCATGCTCAGCTGTCTACATAATCAGATTTCCAAGTCTGTTTGAATTGTTTCTCTCTAGAGTAGAGTTCTGTCTCTTCCCCACACCTCCCAGATTGTTGAATTTTCTTTTGTTTGTACTGAAGCATGGCACTTATTTTGCTGACATATGTGACAAGTTATTTGGGAAGAAGAGGCTCATACTGTCCTACATTTGCAAATACATTTTTTAAAGCAATATTTTGCAAATTATCACAAGCAGTATTTAACTCATGTTAATATAAAAAACTGAAAGAGTGATGTTTATTATGTGAACTCAGAGGGAAGCTTAAAAATTACGAGAATTCATCAAGCATTTTCTTTATGAAATGTTTTCTAAACAGTTTGCTGGGAAGGTTTGCAACACTGGAACGCTGACCTTCTGTTCTTCCCACAGAGCTAAGGCGTAACAAAATTAGAGCCCATACCTAGGATTTGCAAGACCAGTGACAAAGCTAAGCTGGGTGAAAAAAACTCATTCACTCTCTGTCTCCTCTCCTAACGTATACAGAGCGTTTAGAATAAATTACCAAGAGCAGTACATCAGAACATATGATCTAAAATGTCAGCTCGTTGGTTCCTCCATTCATTTTCTATCTCTTTAAAAGTAACAGCCATCATCAGTATAGAGGAAAATGGGTTTTCCAACATGCCTTGTCAAAGTAAACCATTAATGAATTGGGCAGGCATTTAATATACATCTTCTGTCTTGACATACTGTTTTTAGCAGCCCAGAGTTTTCAGTCAGTACATCAAATTTCTTGCTCAGTGCTTCATAATATCTAGTATTTTCATCAAGACTCTATTATCCAGTTCTACTGCTGATAAAGATGGCTGAGGAATCAGTTGTGCAGGTGGGAGTTGTGCCATACCCTTAAGTCTCTTTGCTTAGAGGGTCTCACTACTTAACAAAGAAATGACAGTGAATCTTATTCCTTTCCTTTTGCCTTTTAAAAGTCAAAGACAGAGTGCAGAGTGGTCTGCTTCTCCATCTTTGAGCAGGTGACAGGAAAGGAAAGATTTGGCTTCTGTGTCCATGGATTTTTAAAAGCTCAAGGGTTAGTAATGAATAATAAATGGCTTTCATGAAAATGTGGAATAAATTCCTTAAATAAAGTTCATTGGATCTATTCATTACTTAAATCAGTGATCTAGTAGTGAATTAAACAGAAGCTGAGAATGCAAAATCTTCTGAGCTTCAGGTGGGAAATTGGATTAACAGAAGTCTAACATAAGAGTCTCTATATTTCTGTTTGAGAATAAAGAGATACTCTCGAATTTAGAATGTTCTATTTATTATTTCGTAACAGAAGACAGAAGAAGTTTGAAAGAACCAGTCTAGTATGCAGGATAGCTAAAATGTTAAAGACTGAAATGTTAATCTTGTAAACTAAGGTACATTTTGGGGAGTCATCTAGCATATTTAGATATTGGACTGTTGCCAATTGAGGTGTAAATATTCTTAAAGGTGCACTTTTACTTAAAAAAATTATTTCATATTTCCCTGTATACTGAATTGAGAGTATTTAATGTGGGTTTTTTTACTGATAAGTGATTTCTTAATTTTAATGTATTTCGTGTGATGTCCTTAGCCAGAACTGAACTGCAGGTAAACTGAATACTCAGAACTATCTTTAATTATTTAGAGTGGCTATATCAGTCTTGTTCTCAGTAATTTTTTTCTCACTTTATTGTGAATAATCATGCTCAGCTGTACCTGATGAAGCCGTTACATGTCTTAATGAAGAGCAGTCAGAAATAAGTGTCCACGATTCAAACCTGCAAATAGTTTGTCTCCTGTATGTGTTTTAGTAAAGCTGCAGGTAAGTGAATTCATGAGGTCTGGTGTGGCCTGTCAACTATTTAAAGAAATGTCCAGCTGATTTAAAAAACAAAAGCACAACAAAAATCCTAAAACAAACAAACACAACCAAAATATTGTAGGGAGTGATGGGTGAATGTTGTATGCCATTATTAAGTACTGAGTGATGGTGGAGATGCAGCATTGTGTCCTGAAAGTAACAGGGGAACTGTACTACTACCCTTTTTGTTCTTGTAGCATATTGCAGAAACTTAAGGTGGCAAGAAACCTCATTTTCTCCAGATGCTCTTAACATGGAGTCTCCAAGGACATGATGTATTTCTTTATATTTTTAAGTTTGACATTCATGTGTGTCTTAAGAATGTGACAGTATGTAATTTCATACAAGGCACCTGCTGATGGCATGTCACATATTTTCTTTATTCAGGTCAGGATTTGGTGCGTCAGAAGTAATGAAGTCAGAAGTAAAATTCACCAGAAATGGGAAGCTGTGTATAGGGACTAACTGACACAGTCTGATTCCAGGAACACAATTTGTTTTCAAGAACAGTGTAAGTTATTGGCAGTCTTGGTAGTTCAGATGCACAGAGACAAGCTGCTGCTGTTTGAGAAGAGATAAGTAATAGTTCTCATTCATAATTAATACTATCTTTTTACGTGACAGTCCTAGGAAAGAAAGATGTTTTTTTCTTTTGAGATGCTTTTGAGCTCATAAAGTCTAAATCATCTGGATCCTGTCCCCAGCTGCCTGGGCAACAGAACCTCCATACACAGTTTTTAAGAAATTAGCTAGGATGCAGGAACACTGAATTACTCAATGATAGCAATTTTTGAGCATTGTAAATATCCAGGATTGTTTGTAATTATTCGCTGCATAACTTCCTTTGCACAATACATTCTCGTTCTCTGTAATACAAGAATTTTTGTTTCCAAGAGGTTGAGATATTTTCTGATAGAACTGCAGAAATAAATTGAGAGGAAATTAATTTTGTGGTACCAACATTTACGCCCTCACCACTTTAGTATCTGCATAGGTTTGGAGTGGGGGAAATCTAGTGAGCTTGCACCAGAATCTAGTGAACTCGCACCAAAGTGTAGAGTGTAGAAGTTAAACGCCCACATTTTTGTCCTTTTTTCTGTATTTTTTTCTCTCTCTGTGCATGTCTTCAGTTGGTTGGTGATCTTTTCTTGATCCCAGTAGCTCTTACATATACAATAGTCACAACTTGTAAAACCTATTTCTGTCACTCTTTTGTCCTACACCTGACAGTTTCCACTGTGAAAATTCCAGTGTTTTAAATCTCTGCACCTCGGATGGAAGAAACTCTATGCAAGTTCTGTCTGAAAAGTGGTTTTCTTGGGCTAATAGTTGAATTTGTTGCTTATCAAAAGCAACATTCTATTTCACCTAAATGCATGCATTTTGATGCGTTTTCTTTCCTGACTGTGAATTTGCTAATTGAGACTCTTCCTCAGCCTAGGAAATCTCAAAGTAGTCTGTATCAACAGGACTCCCACCTCTCCTACTACTTGAAAGGTTTGCTCTACACACACAGCTGTACAGAACAAGGATGAAAGCTTTCGGATCTGTGAACCTCATTACTTTCAAGGAAGGAAACCAAGGCATGGATTAATTTCCTGTTCGTAGCCAGCTGCACTTTTCTGTTTTGTTTTGAGTTGAGATGAACGTTATCCAATCACTTTTTTTTTTTCCCTGAATTTGTTTCCTTCCTTTCAGGAATCTACACATATTGTACCTCCACAGAACTTTATTCATGCTTTTGCTGAGTCCCTGTAAATCTGAAAGAACTCCATTACAGTCATTGATGGACTATGTGTACAAACCAACCAAATAGCAAAATCTCTCAGTAACCTTTTTCTTAATTTTAACACATATAAAGTGAATAATGTTGTTTGGAAATACTTTTTTTTCTTCATGGAACTTTTTAAAAATGTATTGTGACTAATTCATAAGGCTTTTCTATTGTTTTATAAGTCTGGAATAGATTCAATAAGTATTAAGTCTAGTTTCTTAAGCAAGAAGTAGTCTGTGGTCACACTGTGTGCATGGCTGGTTTTCTTCATCTCTTGTAACTTTTAAACCCATTGAGATGTGTCAGCCAAAGTTACAAAAAAGAGACATCTCAAGGGCAGTTAGGTTCTGGCAGGTTTTATGATAAGGTGGCTGGATGAAGGACAACTTGTGCAAGTATATTGGCGTATGCAAAGGATGTGGCAAGAAAGTATGGCACAGAAGACTGTGTATGATGAGGTGGGTGTGCTTCTGCCTGAGCACTGAAGAGGTAGGAACACTGCATTGCTGCAAAACCCAAAGGCACATTGTGTTAGCTTTTGTGTGCTTAGAGCTATTCCTCTGATTTAACCCTTGAAACAATGATTGATAGAGATTAATCCACATCTTCATATTAAACTTGCTTGCCATTTCTCATAATACGCTGAGTAAATCCAGCTATGTACAGGATTAGCTGGATTAAATTCTGTAGCTGAAATTAGTCTATGTTCCAGAATTACATAACCAGCATGATTTATTCAGGAAAAGATAAAATTTCTGTTATGCATATATATATTTGTATTATTTGAAGGGGATGAAAATTCATTTTAATTCATTTTTTTAAGCACTGCTGGGGAACAAAAATAGAAAAGTAATCTCAATAATTTATTATTGATTTAACAGTGTTATGTTGCTGCAGTATAAGGTTGTTCTGACCTGATCTTTTATATTAGGATTTGAAAGAGTGCTAATTGGAAACTTGTAGAGTTTACAACATCCAGTGTATGTATGGAAAAAAGGTGAGGAATATCAAAATGTGTTTACTTTTAAAAATTTCTTTCTTTTTAGGGCTTTCTGGAAGCTTATACCAGCAAATCCTGAATGAAGGCAGGATACAGTTATTTCTTAATAGCTCTAGTAAAAAACAGGATACAGACATATGAACTGGATTCTTTTTATCATCATTTAGTAGGAGTGATTGAATTAAAATATATATTTACGCATCACAGGCAAGTAGATAAATGTTCCTGACTATCACCTGTTCCTCAAATAACTGGCATCTTCTTGACATAATTTCTTCTCAGAATCACTGGAAATGGAGTAATTGGAAAACAGACTATCGGCAGGTATCAGAGAGGTTTGTAAGGGTAAAGACTATGGAACATTCATATGCAGTATTAATAGATAATATTAGTGCATTACCCATATATGAAAATACAGTTGCATTGTGTGGTATATTGTGATCTTTTAGTGAAATTTACACTTTTTCTATTTTTCTCCTCTTTTAAAAGCTTCATGCTCTTGAAAAGGAATATTGCATTATCAAATAAATTACTTCTGTCTTTTGTCCATGGTAACTTCTTTACTGCTGATCACATATGTATCAAAGAGGGAATATTTAAAAAAAAAATTAAGCATTTGAGCTTGGTTGAAATACAATTAACTGATTTGTAGTCAGCTTTCCACTTGATATCTTCAGATTCTGCTATTGCAATAACATGGCAGCAAAAGAGTAGAAATAACATGACTCAAGAACAGTGTTGGGTGAGAATGCCAGTTTTTGCCATTTGTGAATGATTGAAAATACCCCTTTTGTGCTGTTCAGTATTATTGCATGTAGTGCTAACTATACCAGAAAATAATGAAAACCCAACAGAACTGAGATTAATTAAAAGCAGGCTGAGGAGTTACATAAAGTGCTATTTCTGAGGCATGGTAAAAGATTAAAAAAAAAAAAAAAATCCCCAAAAATCTCCAATAAGAAGTGTGATAAGCAATCCCATAAGTCTACATAATGAATTGGAGAGGCTAACTGACTAAAAGAAAGGAGAAACGGAGCAATTGAACATATGTATCAAAATCTGAATGAATGGTGTAGAAATCTATTTGATACCACAATGTTTGTATTTCTGGGGTCATAAATAATGAGACAGCACTGGATGACAAGAAATATTTTATAAAATAGGCTAATTTAAACAATTTTGGGTTTACTTTGGTAAATATGGTATGCTTAGGAACAAAGGCTGTTGATCTAACTATATTTCAAAAAGGAATTGGGGATAAGAGGAATTTAAAAATGACTTCAAGGGTTGATCTGAGAATATAAAGGATACCTTATTTGTATACTGCTTAGTATATACTGATGAGAAAATGCAATTAATGTGTCCTACTAGAAGAGCAAAATTGAATTGCTTTGACCTTACTAATAACTTCTCTGGCACTTCAAGTATTCACATAAAGACAGAATAATTTATAAAAAACTTAATAACCTAAATTAGGAGCATGAGCAGTAAAATAATTGCTGTTGTTACCTGTGATAGGAAGCATAATTACATATATGCATACTTTCAGAGGAAGAACCTGACATGTGAGCAAAGTGTGCTTTTAGGAAGAATGCTAACCAAAGCAACCCCCTTGGTGTTACTTTAAATTCAGTGATTTCTTGTAAATGCTAATTTTTAGGTTAGTTACAATGTGCTGATCTGATGATGAACCATAAAATCACAGAATTATTTAGGTTGAAGAAGAGCTTTAAGATCAGAGTCCAACTTACAGTTGCCTAACTGTAAGTTACCTAACAGTGCCAAATGCACCACTAAACCACATCCCTAGCCATCATGTCTTTTAAAATACCTTCAGGGATGGCTTTTCAAATACCTCCAGGGATGGTTACTCAGCCACCTCCCTGGGCATCCTGTTCCAGTGACTGACTGGAAATTTCAGTGAAGAAATTTTTCCCAGTAACCAATCTAAACCTCCTCTGGCACCACTTGAGGTAATTTTCTCTCATCCTGTCAGTTTCTACTTGGGAGAAGAGACCAACACCCAAATCGCTGCAACCTCTTCTTAGGTAGCTCTCCCCTGAGAGATCAAGTTCCCCCTGAACCTTTTCCTCTCCAGACTAAATCCCTCAGCTGTTCCTCATCAGACTTGTGCTCCAAACCCTTCACCAGCTTTGTTGCCCTTCTCTGGACCTGTTCCAGCCCATTGATGTCTCTCTTGTAGTGAGGGTCCCAGAACTGAACACAGGATTCGAGGTGCAGCCTCACCAGTGCTGAGTACAGGGGAACAATCACTGCCCTGTCCCTGCTGGACACACTATTGCTGATACAGGCCAGGATCCCATTTGCTGCCTTGGCTGCCTGGGCACAAGCTGGCTCACGTTCAGCTTGCTGTTGACTTATGCTCCAGACCCTTCACCAGCTTTGTTACTCTTCTCTGGATACCCTTCAGTACCTTAGTATCTCTCATGCAATGAGGGGCCCAGAGCTGAGCACAGGATTTGAGGTGTGGCCTCACCAGGACTGAGTACAAAGGGATGACAATTCCACAGTCAGCATCAGCTAAAAATGCTGGGCCAACTCGCTGATCGCACAAAGTCTGCGTGAAAGCTCTTTTAATATTTGCAGGAAAACATATCCAAATAGCCAGGATATAGATTTCCTTGATTTTGCTTCCTAGAAAGATGACAAGAGGCTTAAGCATCTTTTTTTACACTGAGTAACAAAGGCAAACTGAAATATGTGTTGTTCTGATACGTATATTGTTCATATTTAGTCTTGCCTCTAAATAATCCAAAGATGTGAGATAAAAAAGACGTGGAGTTCTTAATATCCCAAATTCCAGTTATCACAGGTTAAAGAAATAGTGTGGGACTGTAACTTCTTGTTTTGATCAAAGAGAAAGTACCAGACCTTACGGGTCTGAATGCTGTAGGAAGAACTATTGCTAGCTAGTATTCCACTGGGGGGGGGGGGGGGAGCAGGGGGACAAGAAAGGAGGAGCACTCTCTAAAGGAAAGAAATTAATTTTTATCCTATTGGAGAGAGCCTAAGGAGTTCATTTATCTGTGTATGTTCCCCTCCACAGCAACATCAGCTCCATTGATCTAAACCTTGATGTTTATGTAAATTGTTATTAAAGATCTCCAGTG